CCTCCTCACTGTCCAGCTCATTAAAACACTAAACGATAGGAGAAGATGGGAATTTGGCAGAGGCGATCCCACTGGGGCAAAGCGGGTAACCCAAGAGATTTTCAAAGCCTCTTCCGCCCCATTTTCCCCCAGCAGCAAAGGTCATAGACCAAGATATGTCTAATCCAACTCACCTCGCTTATTCACCTTACGCGGAGATTGGCTTGAAGGAATAACGCAATCATCTGACTCACAGGTTGTAGAAGAACTGATTTCATCCACATCCTGTAAATTAAGACAGATTTTTATTTTAGGGCAAAAAGAAAACTCTCCAGTTGATTAAGTTCTCAGACAGCAGCTACAGAATCACATGCAGGTCAAGTGACCTTCACAATGAGCATTAATTGACGTTACAAAGCGTTACTAACGGCCGTGTTTTCCAATAACAAAACGCCGCCCTAGCAGAGTACCCGTCTCACCCTAATTCAAGTTACACCCGAATGCTGAATTTGAAAACGTTGCTGAGAATGTCGCACGCCAGCACTGAGGAAAAATTCCCTTCCTGCAGGTTACTCGCCGCCTTAAGGAGCGCCATCGACATTTCTCACCTACCGGCCTTTGACTACTGCAAGACCAAGCTGTTGACAAACGATCAGCATGTTTTTTGATTCTCAACACCTTAACGCCTACTTATGCCCCTGCTTTTGTTTTAGTGCGGGATGGGGGGGTGGGGGGGGTGTTCTTTTGGTTTTAAGTAAATCTTAACTGTAGAGGTTTGTATCATTTCTTCACCTTAGCATTTCTGGGACTCTGCTTTCCTTCTGTCTACAGCTATGCACTTCCACAGCTTTTGGAAGCCCCTCGCAAGTGTTCTGTAAAAATGAAAGTTCGCCAAACTGACGTTTGCCTTGAACTCTGCTCTTTTTGTCTCTGACAGCGTATTGTTTCCCATCTCATCAGGAACCCTAGACAGCCATCGGGTACCGCAACCGGCTCTAGCAGAATCTGAGACTAGATGAAGGCCCAGCCTTGGCCTCTGCTCAGTTCGCAGTAACAAAGCCGCCAAGTTCCCTTTTCAAACACTCCGTGCTTCTGGTTAACCTCTGAGAAATAGTTTGCCAACCCAAAAAATTGCCATCACAGCAGAATCAAATGCTTTCAGGTTATATTTTTTTTCTTACTGCACATGCAAGATGAGATTGCACAAGCTAACATTTGTGGTTTATTAATGCTGCATTGTAAAAACGTATTGACAATCAAGTCAGGCATGTGAGAGAGATGCTAAAACAGAGCAGGTGAACGAAGGAGGCAATAAACGGTCCTTTATTGAACCCACACAGGAATATAAAACACATTAGCCCTATAAAAACAGCTTCCCATCTTGTTCACCACTTCCTTTCAATGCCCAGTATAAAATACCACAACAGTACCCCAGTGGCTTTTCCTACTTGCCTACATTTTAGATGCCAGAACGCAACAGCAAAATATGACATTAAGTGTAATGAAACAGTTTGCAAACCTGTTCCAAATTTGTATTTTACTGCTGCACTCATTCCATTGCCACCCTTACACCTTTCACACCTAAGCACCGCGTTAGAAAGCAAAATCCACATCCCAAGCTAAAGAATTCTCTAGCAAATCTTAAAATTAAAAGCGAGGTCTGGCAGGCATTAACGGGTCGGGAATAAGTGAGACTCATCGCAAAGTTTAACCATTCCAGCACTGCTAAACATGTTTGCACAAGAATCAAATGTACGTTTAAAAAAACCCAAAACAACCCCAAACCACTTTTCTATCACCAGGAGTACTGACTGCTAAGGTAGCATCAGATAAAAACCGCTTATACCTCTTCAGTGAGATACAAAAAGGTTACAGTTCTTCAAACACAGCCCAGCTCAGAAAACTCATTGTTGGTTTGTTGAAGCATGAGAAACCGGGGCTTAGTCTCGCTTCCTTGGAGAAGGGAGCTGCAGAACCAGGGCACATAGCTCCTGCTGAGAAAATAATCACTAAAAAGATAAGCCCAGGCCAGACCAAAGCCTGCTAGCGCCGCGTGAGTTACAGCACAGGCTGTACCGGCAAGCAAGATCTTGTGACCTGCAAGAAATCTCTAAATAAAGACGCTCTAGAAACAATTTTGCTTTCTCTGTCCAACTACTTCACCGGCTGAGAAGCGCACGGCTGGGGAGGAACAAGAAAGGCTTCAAGGAGCACAGCAGCAGACCTCTTGAGAAGCGCCTCCTTCCTCCAGCTTTGAGCAGGCAACCTTTTGCAGGGAGACACGTTATCTAGGGAGAACGCCCAGGACGCGGGCTCGTGACCTCCCACAAAACTCAGCAAGGTCAGACTTGGCATTTGTTACATTTATTTAAAGAAAGAAAAAAAAAAGTCAATGAAAAACTTCTTTTTCAGCTTTGCCCTTTATCTCACACACACACACACAAAAAAGAGAGAGATACAAATTGTCTTTCGGAAAAACATCGTGCAGAAAGCTTTCCTTTCGGCCATCATAAATTGATTATTTCACTGCAGCTGAGAGCTAGCGACAGACAGGGATGCTGACAGGAACTTCTTGAAAGCTTACCACAGTTTTATGCCTCCATAAGGCATAAACCCGTAGAAGTTTTCCTAGGCAAAATCCACTAACATATCTAAATAAACACCCCATGTCCAAACTAACTGGCACGTGCGTTACTTCCACCTTGCTCAGCGAGCTCCGTGCGCGTCACCTGAAGACCTCCACAGGTCCTGGTGACACCTCTACTTACCACGTTCTCTGCATCGCTGTCCCCTGCGGCTGCAGACCTGGAAGTACAAAGCGGACCGGGGGCGCTTCCGCTTTTCTGCGGAGATGTTCTTCCTTCACGTGCCGGATCTCTCTCTTGAGAGAGAGAGACTTTACAGCTCGTGAAGTCCTCCCTGTTTTCATTTTCCTTCTTCTGAGGCACGGAAATACTTCTCAATACGCCACGCGCCTCAAGATTTTTGTTTCTATCAGCTGAATTAGACTCTGTAGTTGTCGGTGGTCTGGGCCGATTGTTTTCTTGCAGAGATGCGGGGAGACCCTGGAGAGACTTCGGGTCTACAACGGGTTTTTTAGAGTGCGATTTCTTCCTGGCAGAAAAGAACGCTGCTCCCAGCTGGAGTTTCAGGGCTGGTTTAACTGTCATGCTTAGGACTCTGAAAGGTGAATCCATCTTCTTTTTAATTAGGCAATTTACATTCTCTTTCTCCACGCTGGGTTTTCCCGCTGGTATCTCTCCCTTTGCCTTCTTAAGCGTTTTGGGGACGGTTTTGCCATGCTTGGAGCTGGTTGCGTGCTTGGTTGGCTT